GTTCATTCCTAGATTGAATTGTATTAGGCAGCTAACGATGGTTGTATTCCACCAAAGTCAGTTTTTGTTTAACTCCAGGCATGCACATTGATATGTAACTATGCACTGATATTGTAATGGTTAGGTAATATAGTTAAATGATTAATTGTTGTAATAGTTAATGTTGATTTGTTATTGTTGATTAATAGTATCGTGAAGTATGCTGTGCATAAGTATATTGATTGTTAAAAATGTATGATACAATGATGTATGTATTGAGACTGCAGTTCTGCTGTTTTACAGGGTTTTTTTTTTTTTTTTTTTGATGTGAATCTAAACTCTAAATTGACGATTAAAAGAACCTTGAACGTTCATGGTTGTCGTTGTTTTGTTTGTTGTTATCCTAAACTACCACAAAAGTAAAGTAAAAGAAAAACAATCACGACGACAATAAAACGTGTTGACCTCTTTCTTGGCGCGTAGTAATTGCACCGCGAAATATTGCATCCAGGTACTTAAAGCCCCATTCCCAGCAAAATTTCAATTGTTAAGAAAAATCTGATTTTAAAATATATGTTATGAAGATTTATATACATATAATACGAAATTGCTAGTTTAACTGAATATAGACATTCCTAAACAAGAAAACAATGTAAAATAAGATTTATTTTTTTTTTGTTGTGTTCCACACAAATAATAAATGCGGATGAATTTTCATGTTTGATTTTGCGATAGGTCTGCAAAGAAATATAGTGGGCGCCGAAAACATTACCTTAGGCTACCTAACACAGTACTAGGCTAGGCCTAGCATTGCCACGATTTAGGTTCTATTATCACACATAAAAATGACCGACATGATATTTTTCGTTGCTACTATTGACACTTGTGAAATTATTTCAATACTCGATCGACCGCAGTATGCGAGATTCGAAGTACAAAAACTAATCTCATTAGAGAGGGCGCACTTTATTTTATCTATAAAGAGTAGGGCCTATACGTAAAATCTAGAGCATTCCAGCGGATGCGATCTACAACCTCTGAATATGCCTAGTAACGAAGAATTCGTCGAGAAAATGGTAATCTCCTATAAGAAATAGTCTGCATTTATGTTTTTTTTTTTTTTTTTTTTTTTAATTAACCGCAATATTTTTCCATGTTTTATAATAATTAGAGTAATGCATATACATTTTTCCTAAACAACAATATTTGTTTAGTAAAATTTTGCCGGGAATGGGACTTAAGCTGTCTGAATGTTACATAGTACTGTCCGCGCGTCGTGGCCAGACATTTGGCAGCCAGACATTTGGCCTATTACAGACTATCGACCGAAATAGGCCTACCATTTCGCCGAATGCTAGTTTGCCGACAGGACGATTCACCGACAGCCAATTTGCCGACAGACAATTCGCCGACATTTTTTGTGAACATGTTAATGGGTGGATGTGCCACCAGTTGGCATTGATTAATTTTCGTGGCCTGAAGTTCACCGATAGACATTTGGTCTATAAACTATCGACCGAAATAGCATTCGCCGACACGAGATTTTGCCTACACCACATTTCGCCGAATGCCAGTTTGCCGACAGGGCCGTCCGCCGACAGCCAATTTGCCGACAAATAATTTCCCGACAATGAATTCGCCGAAATAATTTTGAACATGTTGATAGATGGATTGACATAGTGGCATATTTTGAGATTTATTTTTCTGAATTCTATTCTAGTACTGAATATATTGTGCACAGCTTACAGATATCAAATGTTAAATTATGTTTTGAGCATTGAATTTGAAACTTCCATACTTTGATAGGGATAAAAGTTCATGATAAAAATAATTAGTAGGCCGCTGTTTAAACCATGAAAGAATTATTCTATTCGGGTGACGTATTACTATTCTTTATAATAATGGAAGGCCCGTAATAATCTGGAGCGGATGCACGGGCTGCAACTATGCGATCGCACCCACCCCCTCCACCCTCCAAATTGTGTTAAGAAACATTATTCTATTGTACGTTTAATATGTACATAGTACCTGTACAATTTTTAAGGTATGAGAGTGCAATTTCCGGGTACATAGAGGTCAATATTCTCAAAATGTTGGCACCTCAGCCACATCCATGGTGAGCCTGAGGTCGTATCACGCACACCCTACCGCCAAATCCTGCATTCGCCTCAACTGATAACTGCTACTGGTAAAGCAACGTTTAACTACTCTTGTAGGCTACGTACATTAATACCGTAAAACCTCGAATTAAAGCCCTGGCTTCTATTTTTGCAAACTTTCGATGGGCTTCTTTTTTCGATATGGGCTTCTTCTCAAGGCTACTTTTGCAAAGTAACGAGGTGGGTGGGTGGGGGGAGGAGGAAGGTGTGGGCTTCTTTTTCAAAATGAATGCTGTACATTTTGTAAATTCGTACTAAGAAACAATACATAAGGTCACTGTAACATCAATCTGTATCATTGAGTATATTTCTGGCATAAAATCATTAAAACTGCTGTATAAACCAAGCTTGTTTTCAATTTATTTTGTTTTTTGAAATTCATGTGTGAATGTACTGTCTCGAACAAAAAAAAAAACTATGCTAACGTGAAAAAACCCCATAGGCTTTTTTCGAGGCTAATTTCACAAACATTTATGAAATCCCATGGTGACAATAGTAATGACGATAAAGCATGAATGGTTAATTGATATTTAGTACAAGTATGACCAGGGAACAGATAAATTACAAGTAGTTTAGCTGTTCCCTGGTATGACTGAGGGGTATACTAAAATAGTATGTGTTTTAAACTACAAACACAAAACTGTGATAAACAGAATTGAGGCAGTGAAAAGTGCAAAAATTGTGGTTAAATTATAGATAAACTCTGGATATATGTTGTACTTGAAGCAATTAAACATTACACACCTTTTTTAAAGGAAATTTTGTTTTTTTAATTATATGCATATAATATAGAAAATAATCCTAGCACCGCTTCCGTGTGAAACCAAACTACGATGATCTCACCTGGACCAATCCATGAGAAACAAACCATTCCAACGTGGCCACACGTAGCACAATTATGCCTTGTAGCATAATTTAAACCCCTGTAGTATTTAACATTTATGCTACGCATAATTTTACCAAAACGTAGCATAATTTAGGTTGACATTGAAAAACATTTTAAATGTGGCATGGTCAAGAGAAATTAGTCACTTGACAAAAAGTTTGAGATATTACCAGAGTAGAAAGAAGTAATGTATACGCTTTAAAATGTTGAAAGAATACAATCCGAGTGTTGGTTAAAAAGTTACGCGAGTTTAAAGATATGCATGTTTGGAATAACCTTGGAACAGGTTTCAGAAAAATAGTACTCCAAAGTACACTGACTCGTTGAACTGTGTGCTGATAAACAGACAGATTATGCTGAGTGACATTGTCAAATAAACAACCTAGCAACGGGGGTTATAATGGGTCAATTGCAATGAAATTTGGCACACATAACATGAATACAATGATGTAACAGCATGCTAAATTTAAAAAAAAAATCTAACTAGATCTTCATTTGTTAAATCATAGCCCAATTATGTTCATATATTTAGCAACAATCAAAAAAAAAAAAAAAAAAAAATATCGGATTCTTTTAGTGATAATATCAATGTGTATCAGCTTCATTTAATCAATCAAATTTTCAGCAATGTCTGCATTGATTACCGCTAACTATTGTGTGGGAGTCCTCTGTTTAAATGTGCTGTAGACACCTATATTGCTAATAATTATATTTATTATCAATCTAACATATCATTTTATTTAAAAAAAATGCCTCCACCCCTGCTTATACATTGCGGTCATTGGTGGATCTAAAAAGAGGAACACAAGCTCAAAAAAACCTTCTTATGTCCCACCTTTTCCTAGGACCTGTGTTTTTTATGCGAGCCCCCCACAACACCCCCCTCACAGACCCTCCAGAAACACCATGGATCCATCCCCGACAGTAGACAAATGGCAAGTTATTGAATACTAATTCAAAATATTTGTAAGCCATGAAAACTAAAAAAAGAAGACAATTACTCTTTATAATATTTTATTTTACAAAATGCAATGAGAGTCAAGTTTAGCATAAGCACACAATGGCCATATCGATGCAGGTATGATAATTTATATAACTTTATAAACACAATTGGTAAATAACAAAACAATCTATCATTCTAAAGTATGCAATAAAAAGTATTTTAATGTTCGAATAAAAAAAAAGTATCAAAATTGTATATCTGATCTTTACAAGCTTTCCCGTCTGCATTCAATGCAAGGGCTTCGGACCTTCAGACATGAACTATCATATCAGGCTGCATTAAAAATGTGTTTTTTCTTTAAATTTATTTATTTAGTTATTTTTTTTAATTTTTTTTTTTTAACCGGGGATATCAAGCACTTCCAATCTTCTTATATCGGGCTACATCCTACCACCGATTAATTTCTTGGTGGTCTTCTTTTTCTTCTTTTTTGGAGGCTCACTTGGAATATGCAATTCGCTATAATCGGCGACATCCTCTTCAGCTAAGACAACTCTTGGTTCGGGGCATACCAAATCAAAAGTTCTGGTCGGATGTAGGGCCGGATGTGCCTGAATAAGTAATTCTGCCGAGCAATCGTTAGGCCTGGTGGATGGACGATGTATGGCAGTACATCATCTTCAATTGTTAGAGCACCATTTTTTTGTGCCTCAATATGTTTAATTCAACCTCAGATGACGTGGCATATTGCTTCACAATTACGATGCCTGGCTTCTCGCATGTGAATCGGAAGCGATGAAACTTTCCAATATCAGGGATTTCCCGAAACCACTTTCCTAAAAACAGACTCCAGGCAAACAGCTGCAGCGAAACATCGCTTCAGTCTTTTTTTCGACGACCTGTGCAATATTCATACTGCTTGACTTATTCACAACGTCGGCAATCCCCTGGATGGACTCGACCTTAGTAACCTTCAGTCTGCTTTATTTGCCCAAAGCCACCATCGGGCAAAATCTTGGTATGGTCAGTGAGCATGAAATTGATTGTAATTTCTCTGTGCCGGCCAGTCATCATTCGCTACATCAGATAAACCATCCTCAATTGATTTTTATTCTGAGCGATGCCACAGTCTCACCAACGCCCCAGTTTTCGAAAAAGTGGTGGACAAGGTTGACTACAAAATATGAGCAATTCTTTATAATTTGCGCTTCATCCACAAGATAATTCACCTATTAAACAATAAAAAAAAATTACAAATTAACCTGGACATTAATAGTAGTTAGTAAATTAAAAATAAAATACCACAGCATAAAACAAATATATAATAAGAATAATCTACACACCTGTTTGGTTAATCCGGTACAACACATACCGAAAATCTTGCATTTTCTCGGTGTAAGGAAGTAGGTTGGCCCGGCTTGCATCGGGTCCGATTGGTAGAGGACTTGCTGGGCATAGTCAAAAGCATAGTGTGAGACACACCTTCAAATAACATTGATCTGTGGATGCCTATCTGCATGTCTTTCACCTGCTCCTAAAGATAAAAATAGAAAATAATTTTAGAAAAAAAATTAAAATTTAAATGTAGACATTGACTAGGGGTGGAGGGAGTAGGTGGGAATTTGCAGGCCCTGAATTCCACCAAGCTAATTATTACCTTTGACTCTGCTATCATCTAATTGTATACACGCCTCTGCCCCATCGTCAGTTCTAGGTGTTCTTGAGCAACCTTTATCAACTCCGACTTGTGTTGTAGAGCTGCTCCACCGCTTCTAAATATTCTAAGAGAGACTTCCAGCATCTGCAAAATGTCTTGTATTTTATCTCTGGCTCATCTGGTTCTGTAAATAAGAGATAATGATGTTTAACATGGGTATTAAAGCCAGTAAACATGCTTAGAAATATTAAAAATTTGGTATAAAAATTGTTAGTTGAGATAAAAATTTAGTATACTGTATTAGTATAAATGACAACACACACCAAGCAAGTAGTGATGCAATTTAAGAAAGTATAAATGTGAGATAACTTACTAAGAATCTTCCTCGCTTGATTGAATTTCACGAGGACATTAGTCTTTGCCTCGCTACTGGACAGTAGAATGGTATCGGCATCCGTTTTTCTCATATCTGGTATGCGCCCTGGCTGAACCAAATTATGTTCTTCAGCATACCGCTTCATAAACAAGGCGACGTGAAGCATTCCACCGAAGTCCATCACCAAGTTCATCGACAATAACAACAATGAAAAAAAAAAATACAGGCCCTTCATACATAGATGATTAAATAGTAACTAGGCCTACACACTACTATTACTAGTACATTCACTGGAATGGAACACCCTGCTATTATTTTGTAATAATTAAATTAATAAAGTGATACAATTAAAATTAGGTTAAAACAATGAAAAAATATTTAGAAGCGGTGGAGCAGCTCATTCCACCGAAGTCCATCACCAAGTTCATCGACAATAACAACAATGAAAAAAAAAATACAGGCCCTGCATTCCAACAAAGTCCATTACCAAGTTCATCGACAATAACAACAATGAAAAAAAAATACAGGCCCTTCATACATAGATGATTAAATAGTAACTAGGCCTACACACTACTATTACTAGTACATTCACTGGAATGGAACACCCTGCTATTATTTTGTAATAATTAAATTAATAAAGTGATACAATTAAAATTAAGTTAAACAATAATATCACTGTGATACAAACAGTACTCACTCTTATCAACTGCCATCATTTCAAGTCGGTTTGCCAGCAAAAAGCTTGAGGTTCAACTCGCTCACAGCATTTAGCCTTGCATTTGCAGTCAAATTTCAGAATTTCTGCGACCTGTTTATCGTTATTGGGTCGCTAACTTTTATCACATCATTACCAACAGGAATTATAAGGATTAGGCCTACGCTTGCAGGTTCATCATCTAATAACGATTAATAGTCGTCGTCCTCGTCGTCGTCGCTAAATATACAATTTTAATACATAAGAATAATATAACATGGACATAGTAATTCATACTTAAACAATACATTAAATATAAATATAAATGTAATAACGTTAACGAATAAATAACAATAACTAAAACGTGTACATAGTATCACTACTACAATAAAAAGATTATTATCTTTCAATCTTATATAGCCGGAGTTAGTATTGACCTAGGTTACTATGGCTAACGACAGGTACGCTTTCTCCTATATAAAGGTTTTTTTCTATGGAATGACCTGTACGAACACGAACTCCTGTAGACTATACCAGTACCGTTACGAGTTTAATCGTGCGGGAAATATCCTCAAGACACATTCTTGTATGTTATTATTATTATTTTTTAATTAATATATTTATTTATTTATTTTAAATCGTTTAATTAGGCATTACATAATTTTCTTGTGTAATATATAATAATAGTGGAATTATGTAATTTATTAAAAATATATTGGTACAGTAGTATGTATGTATATGTAACAATAAAAACAATACGATTATTACAAAAAGTATGACATTTAACAGTAAAGTAAAGAGAGAAGAAAGAAAAAGAAATTACGGAGTGGCTCAAAATGTTTTCCGAAATTTGTATATAAAATGAGTATGAGGTTTTTAAACAGAATTTTGGGACACTAATCTTCAGATCTACATGTCCATAAATAACGACTTTCCATGGCGACTACCCAGTCCTCCACAAAACAAAACACCTGTCGAAGAAACATGAAACACATCACATAAATAAATTGTCGGCAAAATGCCTGTCGGCGAATTGATTGTCGGCGAATAGGCTGTCGACGAATTCCGATGTCGGTGAATTTTCTTTCGGTCAACTGTCTGTCGGCCAACTGTCGGTCGGCCAAACGTCCGTCGCAAACTGTCATTCGACGAAATGTCCTAGTACCGGTTTGGCAGTGGAGAAAATGGCGTCGTTTGAATGCATTTTGTGTCACCGATAGCAACGGAGTGGTATCACCTGGTATCGTGACTAACACGTATTACTCTATGTTGTACACATCAACCACAAAAGGATCGTCAGTAAGTTAAGATCAATCAGACATTAACATTAATTGTGTTGCCTGAAGATGCACATTTTAACCAAATATCATCATCCATTTTAAAGTACAAATTTCGTATATTTGATTGCACATTTTTGTTTATAAATAAATATGAATTAAATTTGTTGATTAAAAAACATTTACTAAATTGTTTCAGTCCATATGACACTTTGTTTTTTTTTTTTTCATAACCAAAATTAATCAAGGACCTTTGGTTTTAAAAAATGAAAATAATATCCGTAATAAAAGACATTAATTTTAAATTAGAAATATACTATTATTTTTTGCCGTTGAGTGTGAACATATATAACAACAATAATATGTTAGGTTGTGGTTAACAATAATTATATTAAGCAGTACGCATCTGGTTTTTGAAATAGTTTCAGTTACAGTCATTATGTAAATATTTATATGTAATTACAATATTTATTAAAATAAAGGCCTATTAATAGGCTATTTAAGTTGCGCATTTTATCAAAGAATATGTTCCTGCTTCTTGTACTGCAGACTCCAGTGCAAATAAGGCCAACGCCGGGTACTAATTGGGGTCTGATGGCTCGTTAGGCGGGATAACGAACAATGTATCCGTTACATATCGGAACTGGCGTTGCAATGCGGGTTTCCAGGGGCGCGCCAATTCACAATGTATTTGAAATTTAATTTAATTATTATTTAGAACTTGGTGAGGTTTCTTCCGTTTGTGTTTTTGGTCAAAGGCATTGCTTTTCTTCAGTAGATGAATAGAGTAGGGGGTACATTATTTTCAAAAGAAGACTAAAACATATTTTATATTAGTAAATAAAGCGCATTAGAACTCAAAAATTGTGAAACCAACTTTGCCGAATCCCTTTTTGCAAAGCAGCATACAATTCACATTTGGGCACTCTTTTATTTGCATCTCATTGATTATTACGTTAGGCAAGCTTACCTGAGCCTTATACTATATACATAGTATACGCCAAGCCCAAAGGTTGTCCTCCCGTATACACCACCCAGATTTTCATAAATACCTATCAACGGTTGGGGGTACACAATATTCATTACATGGAAGAAGGGGAACCACATTTTTGGAATATATAGGTTAAGTGGATACGTGTTCTAGCGATAGTGTATAGCAGTGACATGGAACGAGTGGGCCAGGGGCTCCTACTGAAACATTATGTATTTCTATTTATTTCAATAAATTACATTTGGTGTTGGTATGCGTGAATTAAAAATAAATGGCAAAACGGTGACTGGGCTGGGGGCACGTGCATATATATTTTGTTGTTCCACTAATCTTTTGTTTTATCATTTTCATTGTTTTATATGCTTTAATAAGCGTGTAAAAGTCGAGTTTCCGGGTGGTAAGGCAGGGGCGCCACAAACTACAGCCTTTTAACATTGGCCCTGGTTCGAACCGCTCCTTACCCAGGGTCCTTGGATATAGATTAAAAATGAGTTCCAGAGTACGCATCTGGCCAGTGTGCACTTTAAAAAACCATCTTTCGGAAGAGTAGAGGTTACCTCGATTCTATGGTTTATTTCATGGAATGATGTAAACATGTTTAAGTGCCTTTTTACGGCGGTAGTTAGTTACGTGCCACGTCCATATACACGCAATGACGCTGCGAGTTAAAAGAGTTATGTCTCCTACATTGTCGTATAAAATACCGTATTCTAGATTCGCCAAGACTGACCAAAACTGGGTTTCGACAAACTAAGTGTCGGCAAACTGATTTTCATAAATTTCGGTCGGCAAAATGCCATTTGGAAAATTAGCTTTCGAAAAGTATACTCAGAAAACTGACGTTTGCGGAATATAAATTTTGACATTCGCAGCATGATAAGTGTAGCTGTGGGGGCAAATATGTATCAGTAGAGTTACGAGTAATAACTTTGCAGTCTAATTCACAATTTTACGTACGTTTGGGCTTTACGGTTTTGGCGGACTAAGGGAAATTGTGTCGTCCTTTCAACACTTTTCAAGGGGTGGGCTTTTGGGAAATTTGTCTACCTTTCAACGCTATTCAACAAATAATTTGGTACATGATTAATAAGACATTAAACTGTTGATCTATATTGAAAAACAAATTTGGATTTTTAGGCAATTTTTGTGCTCCCATATTTTACAGCTCATTTACTCAATACTGGCCTGTGCGACAACTTAACTATTTCGCCACGACATGCCTCAAATCCTGCGTAATTGCTATAATATCTGTAGCCAATGCCTATATACATTATTTTTTGACATGTTTGCAGATTTAGTATTAAATTGCTCTGTTCACTTTAAGTTATTTTGTTTCAAGTACTTTTGTGTTTATGCCTGTTACTTAATATTAAAAACTATTATAAATGTGGCACTAAAGAAGATCGTTCGTCTAGTTTAGCAATTATGTAGGCTAATCGTCTTCTTAGGTTCTGGGAGTGTTACCAGGAAAGAGTATCCCGTGGTTACTGGATCAAATACCTCACATACTCAGCACTAAGTGAATCTGTTGCAGTTATTAATCAACAGTGGGTTCGACCGGTACCCAGTGCGTATCCCCCCACACACCACTTCATAGGATAAACAAATATATTATAAGGAGTTACTCATTAAAAAGAATGCTACAGTTTCGCTGTTCTGACAGAAAACACTCCTGATGTCTTATTTTGTATTCACTGTTGAACGACGTTGAGTGAAGACGTGTTTTTTTAGCTCCGGCTGCGCTATTTTAGCCGCTCTCCGACCTAAATACTGTATTCTTCTGTTGACCCCAAGTGGTATTTCTTTCAAAATAACAGTGGGTGGTTAG